AATTATATTTTGCACCCTTGCCACCCTCAGTGCTTCTTTAAGTGTTGTTCAACATGGAGGAGTACTGCTTCATCAGTTGAGGAAGACAGTACACAATCAGCAGGAGGTTTCCTCGCCCAAGTCTAACCTGATGCCATGAGACTTCATAGAGTCCAGAATCAACTTTGAGGACTCCCAGGACAACTCCCTCATGACTGTATACCTCTAGATCTCCACCTCTTCTGGGTATGTCCTCTCGTCCAGGACATATCCAGGGATGGTGATGGTGGTGTTTGGGACATTGTCTGCAAAGCATGATTCCGAGGGTATGACTATATTAGCCTATTGCTTGACTAGTCTGTGAAACAGTTCTCTCAATTTTGATACTAGTCCCCAGATGTTAGGAAGGAGGACTTTGCAGGGTGCCTAGGTTGATGCCAGGTGGCCCGTTTGGTTTCATTTCTTTTTTGAGACTTTGTAGGGATTGATACAATTGAGTGCCTTGCTACGCCATTTCAGAGGGCAGTTGAGAGTCAACCACATTGCAATGGATCTACATGTTGAAACCAAATGAGGATGGTAGATTTCCTTTCCTAAAGGACATTAGTGAGCAAGATAGGTTTTATGCACAAACAACAAAAAATTCATGGTCATCAATAAATTCTAAATTCAAGATTTTTTAATTGAATTGAAATTCCACCATCTGCTATTGTGGGATTTGGACGTGGGTCTCCAAAACATTAGCTGAATTTCTGGATTAATAGTCTAGTGATAATACTACTATAGGTCACCACCAACTCAAAATAAGTTGGTCTGCAGTATTCCAAGATAGTTTACAGGGTCATCCTCTCTCATAATGAATGGAATTCTGAGCAGCAGATACTCATTGGGGAGTGGGATACTTCCCACTTTGCTCAGAAAATCTGAAAACTACTATTTTTATGGGTAGAGCTAAGCAGGCAACACAATTTTTTTTACTGGCATACTGTGCTGTTTACTTCATCAACACTGCACACACTTTGCAGTCATGAAACCTTGGCCACATCATCCTGTACCTGAACTGCCCACGGACAATGTCTGCAAATAGCCTCCACATTTACATAAAACGCAAAGATTTGTCCTCTTAGAATCAAGTATGGTAAAGAGAAATGAAGAGGATGGATGAGGACAGAGTGGTGGATATGATCTATTTGGACTTCAGTAAGGCAATCGCTAAGGCTCCTCATAGTAGACTGGTTAGCAAGGTTAGATCACATGGAATACAGGGAGAACTAGCCATTTGGATACAGAACTGGCTCAAAGGTAGAAGATGGAGGGTGGTGGTGGAAGGTTGCTTTTCAGATTGGAAGCCTGTGACCAGCGGTGTACCACAAGTATCGGTGCTGAGTCCACTGCTTTTTGACATTTATGTAAATGATTCGGATGTGAATATAAGAGGTATAGTAATTAAGTTTGCAGATGACACCAGAATTGGAGTGTAGTGGACAGCCAAGGTTACCTGAAAGTACAACGGGATCTTAATCAGATGGGCCATTGGGCCAAGGAGTGGCAGATAGAGTTTAATTTAGATGAATGTGAGGTGCTGCATTTTGGAAAGGCAAATCAGAGCAGGACTTATACTTCTTATTTTATTTATTAACGGGATGAGGGTGTCGCTGGCTAGGCAGCATTTATTGCCCAGACGGCAGTTCAGAGTCAACCACATTGCTGTGGGTCTGGAGTCACATGTAGGCCAGACCAGGTAAGGATGGCACTTTCCTTCCCTAAAGGACATTAGTGAACCAGATCGGCTTTTCCGACAATCAACAGCGGATTCATGGTCATCATTAGATTCTTAATTCCACCATCGGCCATGGTGGGATTCGAACCTGCATCCCCAGAACGTTATCTGGGTCTCTGGATTAACAGTCCAGCAATAACACCACTTGGCCACCACCTCCCCACTTAATGGTAAGGTCCTGGGGAGTGTGGCTGAACAAAGAGACCTTGGTGTCCAGGTTCATAGTTCCTTGAAAGTGGAGTTGCAGGTAGATAGGATATTGAAGGTGGCACAAAAACAAAGTTGCTGGAAAAGCTCAGTAGGTCTGGCAGCATCTGTGAAGGAAAAAACAGAGTTAACGTTTCGGGTCCAGTGACCCTTCCTCAGAACTAATGGTGGCTGGGAAAACATCAGTTTATATGCAGAAAATAGGGAGGAGGTTGGGGTAGGGAGTAAACGATAGGATAGAGCCCAAAGAGAGCGAAAGACAGTTGGACAGACAAAGGAGTGGCTAACGATCAGGCTGGGAGGGTGAATAGTTGTTAATGGGGACTGTTAGTGACTAACAACAGGGGGTGTGTAATGGCAGGCTATGTGATAACAAGGCCTGGTGTGTGGGGTAGGGGGCTGGGACATGGGAGAGTTTAGGCCCTAAAATTATTGAACTCAGTATGGAGTCCGGAGGGCTGTAGGGTCCCCAAGCGGAAAATGGGGTGTTGTTCCTCCAGCTTGCATTGAGCTTCACTGGAACACTGCAGCAAGCCAGAGACAGAGATGTTGGCCAGGGAGCAGGGTGGTGCATTAATGTGGCAGGCAACAGGTAGTTCAGCGTCTTTTTTGCGAGCAGAACGTAGATGTTCTGCGAAGCGGTCACCAAGTCTACACTTCGTTTCCCCAATGTAGAGGAGACCAAATTGTGAGCAGCAAATGCAGCAGACTAGATTCTGGGAAATGCAAGTGAAGTGTTGAAGTCACAATGTGGTCCCTTTTCCGCTTGGGGACCCTACAGCCCTCCTAGGACCAGTCAGTCCGGGTAGAAAAAGGAATAACACTTCAGTTGCTACTTTTCAAGAGCGCTATATGTTCAGTGACTAGCAATTTTAGTAGGGTTGGGGAACGTGGAGCAATGATGAAAGAAGAGATATCATAGATATGTAATCAGAGGAGACTAATAAAGATCAAGGAATTGGGAGAAAGTTATGCAGAAAACCAAAAAAAAAGACAGCACACTTGGAAATGAAAATGAAAAGAAAAGAACACTTGAAATGCACACTATGTTCACCAAAATAAAAAAGCCAACATTATTATCAGATTCACCTGATTCTCTTTCATACACCAGGGGAGGCGATGGCCTTCTAGTATTATTGCTGGACTGTTAATCCAGGGACCCAGATAATGTTCTGGGACCTAGGTTCAAATCCCACCATGGCAGATGGTGGAATTTGAATTCAACAAAAAAAAAAAATCTGGAATTAAGAGTCTAATGATGACCGTGAAACCCATCTAGTTCGCTAATGTCGTTTAGGAAAGGAAACTGCCATCCTCACTTGGTCTGGCCTACATGTGATTCCAGAGCCACAGCAATGTGGTCAACTCTTAACTGCTCTCTGGACAATTAGGGATGCTAATAAATGCTGCCTTAGCCAGTGACACCCTCATCCAGTGAATGAATAAATAAAAACATCCCCCAGAACGTCCACTGCTCCAAAAAAAAAAGGAGATATGTAGCTAACACCTAAAGTTAAGACACTGGGAAATGCTTTTAGTAAATGTAGTACAAATATGGTAGACAGAGAAACAGAAAAAAAACCCCTGCCACTCCACAGCTATTTCATACAAGTTCCCCAATTCTCACAATTGTGTGGGTTACGCAGCTTAATACTCCACTTCCTGCAAAGACTCCATCCTCAAAATGAATTGTGGCAAACTGGACATAGGTTAAAGTAAGAAGCTTGACGCTATAAATTGGGGTCGCTTCCTATTGCTACACTTTAGACAGGCTTTTCTTATTAACACATTACTCCTTGTAGGTGGCCTGCTGAAGCTCTTTTAAGGACAGCAAGTTATATTAATGCCTACAGGTAGTCTTAAATTTTCCTGAACACAACTGACATTTCCATAGAAGCAACATAACAGCATATTCCTAGTGGAGTTTTGGGATACTATGCAGAACTTGAACAAGGACGGACTAACGAGAGCATGACATGGGATTTCCAAACAACTGGGTTGATTTGGCTATTTTGTCAACTGAGAGCAAGATTTTCAAGCTGGCCAAAGTGAACAAGAAAGTTGACGGTTTGACTGGTACTGTGACTGAGGGAAGGATTTATACTATTTTACGATATAAAATGGAAGAGAAGCATTGAAATAAAGCCAAAAAGTACACCTTACATGTAAAATTATTGTGAAGAGCCTTAGAAAGGAATAAAATTATTTTTCAACACATGTTCTGAATTTTGCTTCATTCCAAACTGCATGTTGTGATCCCAGACCATATCTCAAATTTGTATTTTGAGCTGGCTAAGAACCAGAACTTATATTTTCAAAGTAGGCAAAAAGCGAGAGATTCAGGGGACTTACCAAGAGAATAAAGCCACAAGATTCCATAATATTAAGCAAACAACATTAAGCTTTACTAAAAACATTAGAACAGTATCACAATCTACAATAAATGTACAATTTATTTCTAACACCCAGAATTAACACGTGATAAATAGAGATAGTAGATCACCCCACAGTGCACATTAAATAGCAATGATGGGAGGGCCATCCATACAGCTGTGGGAACTGAGAACACACATCTCTACCAAAGGTGATAGGGTTTGCATATGGATACTGAGAAGTTGAGTCTTGACCTGCCTTTAATAGTTAGGAGCAATTGCAATATCTGCAGATTAGAAATAAGTTAGTGCCTGGAAAGAAGTTCAGCCACAGCCAGAGTTACATCTGGAAAAAACTGGGGCAGGAAGTTGGATGTAGTGCCTGAGTAACAATGAATGAAATGAGGGAGGATCAACGTTTCTTGCGTCAGTGGACAATTAAACAACAGCTGAAACATTGGAATTGGCTGTGCTGAACACGGAAGATTATACCAACAGCAGAGGAGCCACGCCATGATAGATAAGTCAATAATGAACAGTTATCGTGGATCAATGTGTACAGACCAGACACATGTGACATAGAAAACTGAACAACAGCTACACCACCCCTGTCATCCCCTCTCCCCCCACACTTAAATTTACATTTCAACTCTTCAACTAACCTGTCCAACAGATATTTTAAGTATTCTGAACAGTCCTGTTGGGCTCCTGGGTTAAACCATGGAGGAGAAGAAGCTTTCAAAAAGCTACTGGGGGAGATGGCTGGTCTCTACAAATGTAAATTAGAGAAGTTAGAAATTCAAACATGGTCATTCCTCAAAAATAACCACACAACTCAAAAGGTTACTTGAACTACTTGTGATAACCATCCATATTCCCTGAAATTTATATACCACTTGGACCAGGGTACATCTAATAGAAATGGGAGAAGGAGAAGTTCTAAGAACTCTTAAGATTAACAGTAACAAGATATTCCTCATGGTCATATGTCTATAAAGTGAAAAAATGGCTAGAAATCACATTTTAAAAAGTCTATAAATAAAGTGAGAAATTGAAGAACGTGGAAGATGGATGTAGAAGAGAGAGAACTATACCTGTGGAGAATAAACTACGGTTAAAGAATAGGAAAGACCGTATCATAGAGCAAGTAATCAAATTTCCTTCCACTTCACCGACAAGCCACACATATGGATCACAAAAGAATCGGTGGTGAAAAGGCTGACTATTCACATTTTGGTTAGAAAAACTGCATTAAGATTGCCACAACCAAGACCAAAATTTCCACAGTAGATCACCTGAAAATCTCATACAATATCTATGGCTACTTTTTAAAAATGAATTTCTCATGTTCATGCAATGAGGTTGCAGATCAGGTACAACACACTTTAACTTTAGTTAGTGGTCAGCATCCAACAAATTGTAACATGCAATTAACAAGGTAAGGTGTTGCTTAAAAACACAATCATACCATTCAAGTAAATTTTTCCACTGCCAATATTAACAGGCATCATGTAGATGACACCAATATCATAGATAAATTTTTCCCTCTAAATTTAGAGCCTTTGAAGCAAAGAAATTCTGGATTTGAAGGGCAGTCAACACAACAGGCAGGAATCCAACAGCTTGCCAAAGAGGGGCCAGTTCATTTTGACAAGTATGTTGTCAAGGAGAGATTCTGGGAAGCAGTAGGCTAGATCAATTTAGTTACCTTAAGCAAATCTAGAGAAAAGATGTTGTTAAACTTGAAAGGGTTTAGAGAAGATTTATAAGGATGCTGCCAGGATTTGAGGGTTTGAGCTATTGAGGGAGGCTGAATAGGCTGGAGTGTTTTTCCCTAGAGTGTCAGAGACTGAGTGGTGACCTTATATAGGTTTATAAAATTATGATGGGCATGGGTAGGGTGAATAGCCAAGGTCTAATTCCTATAATGGGCGAGTCCACAACTAGAAGGCATGGGTTTAAGGTGAGTGGGGAAAAATTTAGAAGGGACCCGAGGGCAACTTTTTCACGCAGAGAAAAGTGCACGTATGGAACGAGCTGCAACAGGAAGTGGTGGAGGCGGTTAAAATTACACCATTTAAAAGGCATCTGGATGGGTACATGAATAGGAAGGGTTCTGAGGGGTATGGGCCAAACACTGGCAAATGGGACCACATCAATTTAGGATATTTGGTCGGCATGGACGAGTTAACTGAAGAGTCTGTTTCTGTGCTACGTAACTCTATGACTCTATAAATCCAACCAATGATTGCAGAGATCACAAGTCTGAGAACCTGCTTTCCACAGGCCGTAGGGAAAATTAATACTGCACTGTTACTAGCCTGCTACTGAATTTTCACGATCAGCAAATCATCCTCGAAAAACCTAAAAATTACACAGAAGGAGCAATGAATTGTCCTTGGTGGGGACACATAAATGAATATTACTAAAGTGAGGCAGGGAACAGGACTGGAGGTAGCTGAAAACATCTCCCTGTATCCTGACAAAGGGCAGTGTGTGGAGTGCAAAATGAAGGAGAACAGCAAGAAAAATATTGAAGAAACTGAGCATTAAATGTGATAAAGTCATGAACTGAAGTCTCAAAATCATATTACAATCCCATAGAGACCAACAACTTTTAAAGAGAAAGTTCAGCTTACAGTTGACAACTTCTATAAAACAGTACTGGTCTCGAACAACTAAACTACTCAGCCTTAATCAAATACAAGCAAAGTACTGCAGATGCTCTAGAATGGAAATAAAAACCAAGTGCTGGAGAAACTCGGCAGGTCTGACAGCATCTATCATGAAAGAAACAGTGTTAAAGTTTTGAGTCCAATATGACATTCACGCTGATTCTCTTTCCAAAGATGGTGTCAGCAAATTTTTTCTTAAAAAAAATTGTGCCCACATTTATTGTCAGAAAACCCCAGAACAGGTCACAAAATCTTTTCTCTACCCTACGTTTAAAACTACACAGTCTCAATTTACCTTAAATTACAAAAACATCAATGTTACAAGCATCGTAACTGTAGCAAAGAGAAATGGGATTAAGAAAAATGTTTTGAAGAAGCTCAGGGTTGATACAAAACCATGGAAGCTTCAAACTCAGTTTATGATAGAAATATGATGGAGTAGAGGCTGAAGGCACTATGCTATTGGAGGTTGAGAAGAATGAGTGCTAGTAAAACTGAAGCAAAGAGATAAGATTCCAGCTCATGCAGGCTTGACTGCCTGGGTAAGCAACATGAATGGAGCAACAGTTTTGGAATGAAGGGAGACAGAGAAGTATTATTAAGCATCTTTAGTAGACAAGCTGAGAGGGGAGAGTAGTATTTAATTGTTTTTAAAAAAAAAATGCACCAGACATACACTTTTGTGACACAGCAGTAACTGTACAGACATGGGAGGTCAACTCATTAAAAGTTCATGAGAACAATCTTTTGGCACTGATGTCTATAACGTTAAGGAACTAGTGCTAATCCTGTCTGAGTGTATGTATCAATTACACCTAAATTTCTGAGACCCTCATTGGATGCACGTTTCTTTAACTACTTGGGCATTGGTGATGGGGCCACTAGATCGCATAGAGGTAAAATCTGAAAAATTGTTAGGGACAACCAAATGAGAATGGCACAAGATGACAAAGTGAAACAATATTCTAAAATCCTCTGGAAGATCATCTTTATCAGTGCTAGGGTGCAAGGATCAACAAGTCATAGACAAAAATTAAGAGAAAGTGCACTCAATGTTCTGTAGCCTTATGATACGTTAGCAAGCGGCTTTAGAACAGGATACTAGTTCTACATTTAGCTCTCTACTAACATAGATCATGTTAAGCAACTTCACCAATCATGTTGTTGGATAGTTGACTTAAAATTGTGAAAAGATTCTGAACAGTAAAAACACAATCCTATCTTTCCCAACACCATCACTTTACAGTCCAGTGCTCAAAGACAGTAACAGTTCGCATCGCTATCAGATCTGAGAGTTCAACTCAACTATTTTTTTCAATTCCCAATCCAGAGAGTTTGATACCCTCTTCCTTGATTAGTCATGCATTTGAGCTTAGACTTTCTCCACTTCAAATAAATTGCTTCAGGGCTCTTAAACCAAATACTGAAATTACACTTAAAACTATTCTCTAACAGTTCTAAATTAACTCCCTTTTTGAGGAAAAATTGTTTTGTTCATCTAACTTTAATCAGGACTTCTGCAAAATGAAAAATAAAAGCTTTCCAAGCTATGGATTTCTCCCCCCCCAAAGTAAATTCATCCTCCTCAATGTTTATTCTACCTGCTCAAATGTCTCCCAAAACAAACAAATCCCTATTAACACACCAGGGTCTCTCCCCTCTCATACTGGTTTTTTTAAAAAAAAAGTCTCCAGAAATAGTTTCAAGTTAGCCATTAAACTCCCTCATGTAAACAGATCAAAATCTACATGCTAGTAGTGCAAAATGCAAACTCTAAAATAAATGATATCAAAGTATACCTTACATCACTGAACAGTCCACAAGTATGATTTGGCTGCTCTGATCAAGCTGCTGTCGATCAGATTTTTCTGGCTGACAGCACATGCTACAACTGGAGTGTAGGTAAAGAATGACCCACCAAGACAAGATCATAGGAATTGTTACAGGGCAGGATAAGGCCATTTGGCCCATGGTGTCTGCAGTACCTATCTGATCATTTCAACTTGGCACCAATCTCTTCTGTTCCTGTAACCCTGAATGTTTTTTCTATTTAAATAACAATCCAAAACTGCCTTGAATGCCAAAATTGAATCTATCTCTAACACTTTTAGGTAGAGTATTCCATACCTTAATTACTTGCTGAAATGGTACTTTCTCACCTCATCTTTGCTTATTTTACAAATCACTTTAAAATATGCCTTCTAGTTCTCGATCAGTTTACAAGTAGGAACAGTTTTTCCTTACCATTCACGATTTTGAACCTGTTAAAAATCTTAGCCTTCTCCTCTCCAATGAAAACAGTCCCAATTTCTCTTCATATCTTAAGTGTCTCATCATTATTGTAAACTTCTTTTGCACCCTCTCGAATGCATTCAAATCCATCCTGTATTATGGCACCAAGAACACCATACAACACTACAGCTGAGGTCTAACAAGCATCATGTGCAAAGTTAACCTCACAGCTCTTGTATTCTGTACCTCTATTTCATAGTTTTATTTTAACAAGCCTTTGGTTACAAACCAAATTGTGAATTGAAGCCTCCGCACGCTCTAATCATCCACTGAGCAAATTTTGATCACTTCTATTTACAGATGCAGGTGTGCAAAGACAGGTGGTTTGGTAGTGCAATCCACCTGGCATCCTGTGGGAAACTTTATGCTTGTAACTTCCAACACTTTAGATATGAGCATTAGTTCTGCAAATGGTGCTAAAATGAAAATTTGTACAGACTCATGAAAATCTAAGGGAGGAATTTTAACTCCCAAGAATGAATGAGTTGAGAACTAAAAATGTGGTATGCTTTGAGGAGTTGAAGCAGCTCCAAGATGCCCAATTCTGAATTTAACAGGCACACATGAATGTAAGAGAGAAATGGGCAGTAAGTTAAGGATTTAATAATTGCAGACAGGTGGGTACTTACTGGTGTAATTAACAGTGTGAAGGAATATTGATGAGGAGCTTGTAAATCATTTTACTGTTTAACCTTGTTCCAAATTTAACTTGCATTGCATAGGGCTCAAGAAACTGACCCAGGAAACAATAGAGATGGACTATATTAAAAAAATTATTCTTTTAAATGCTTCAATAGTAACCAGCAGAGACAGAATTGGTTGCCCATCTCTAATTGCCCTCAAGATGGTAATGATGGCTGAAATCCACATGGTAACACGCAAGGCTATTAAAGAGTTAATGGTTTTTAACTCAGCACCAGTGAAAGAATGTTGATATAGCTGCAAGTCAAACAGTGCACACCTTGGATGGAGCTTGCAGATAGTGGTTATCAAAGATCTGTTGTTCTTGTCCGTTTAAGCAGTAGAGTCCAAACAAGGCTCAGAAATTGCTGTAGTGTATCTCGTGGATGGCAAGGACTGCTACCACTGTGGTTGATGGAGCAAAAAAGAAACAGCTACATTCAAAATAAACAGTATTTGAACATTTCAAACACAAATGAGACAAAGTGAAATCATGAAGTGAATCTTCAAATTTCCTTGTTTATTTCCAATTCAGGTAAAGGTATCTAGTATAATGATTTTGTGCTGTTGATAAATGTACAATGTTCCTTGAAGTCATGCCTTCTGAGCATATGCCCAATGTATGATCATCAAGAGCTAGAGAGATCTTGCAAAATATATGTTCTAAACATTGGCAGGAAGTGCAGGGAAAGTTGTCATGTCTGGCAACATCAGTTCTGAAGAAGGGTCATATTGGACTTGAAACATTAACGCCTCTCTCCACAGATGCTGCCAGGCCCACTATGTTTCAGGTCTCCAACATCTGCAGTTATTTGCTTTTCTTTTCTGAATACTGATGGCGAGTATGCATATATTTTGACAGTTGATTTAGAAGTAATAGCACAAGACACTTTGCTATTGAAGTTTCACTGATGAAGAGAAAAACACAACATTTCAAGAAAATGGGTCAAAGGAATTTCTTTTGTAACAGAGTAACACTAAACACACTTATTAATTCAAGTAAAATGGTGAAGTGGCTCACGCTATACACAGTACACAAAAGAAGAAAGATCACTAGAATCAACAGTTCCTAAAAGCAAACTCTCTTTGCACTACCCACAATTGGGGCCTATACAAATGTAACAACAGAAGGAAGATTTTTTTTTTTCTGATCAGTCCTACAAAATTGGGAAGAAGAATTATCATGTTGTACAAATCAAATTTATGAATTGCCTGTTGTCACTCAATAAAAGCACTGTGATTAAACCAAATTACTCCTTTGCCTTCTGCAATAAATAATGGCTGTTTATGAACAAATATGAACAAATCTTATCAAAAGATTTGAATTATAGTTTTCAAAGTGTAAAGTATGCAAGATATACTGAAATCTATTACATATTCCAAACACTTAGTGATGACAACAATTCAGTACTATCCCTATAGATATCACTAAGAGCATGCCATATGACAGTGACATCCAAAAAAAACCCACAGAGTAGAACAAAAAGGCAAAAACAAAACTTATATGACTACGAAGAAAACATTTACTGCAAAAAAAGCAATCAAACCAAAATAAGCAAAGAAATCCCAACAATAACAAGTTGCAACCCCATCATACAAAATAATGGGAAAAGGCCTTCTAAAAAATTTGAACACACCAAAATGAAATCAAAAGCAACATCCCCAGCCTTGGAAAATACAAGTGGGAATGGTCCAGGAGCCATGGAAAAAAATAGAGAAGAGGTGAAACAGACCAGTTACTATTTAGGTGGAGCAAATTTCAGCCGACGTCTTTTCCTTCTTTCTCTTGCAAAAGAAAACCACAGTTTTGGCAGCCCACCTGCTCCTAGGTATTAACCTGATGCATCCGATGACTCCCTGTATATTCAAGATAACCATTCTAACTTACCAATCAACCTACAACGACGTTAATCCCCAACCCCAACTGAAATCAAATCTGGTAAACCTTGCAACCTCCAACACAGTTCAAGATTTGACACTCACACACATGTATTCGCATCCAAAAATCACACAATGATGGTGGTGCCAAATAAGACAAACCTCCTTTGCCCCACTTTCATTCTTCCTCTCCTTCCCAATAAAGCTCATAGTTAGCAAACTGTGCAACTTGCCTTGAGTTGATAAATGCCATTGGTCTTGAACGCCCAAGTGCAACACAAGGCAAGACATCAGCTGGTATTGTACAGTGTATGACTCAATGAAATAAGAAACATGTGAAGGCTTCAATTCAATTACCTGAATACTTTCTTCTAGTAAAAGAGAAACAAAAAGCTGCATGAAATTGAGAAATTCCACTTTTTAAGAAGCACTACCAGTAACCCAGTAGTAGTGGAGAGAACAAATTAAACTCTTGCTAATTTTCATTGAATCACCCTTCCAAAAATGTAGGCTGTTAGCAATTCCCTAAAAGAAGTAAAAGAAAAAAATGTACAGGCAGAGATTGGCAAGTATCAACAGTTTGTAAATAATTCCACTACATACTGTTCTATAACAAATCCAATATAGCCAAGATAGGATGGTTCCTACTATTATATTTAGAATTTGAGCAACTATTTTGTGAAATATGTAGTAAAGCACTCAAAAGACTCTATTCCTCATGTTTTATTTTTTGAGAGTATTTGGTAGAAGATTTCTCAATTGATTGTACATCAACCATTCAATTCTCTTCGTATCCAACTGTTCTTGAAACAATTCTAGGATTTTCTCTAATGTATACGCAAGAACATTTATACATTGATCATTGTATGGATAACATCTTGAAGTGATCTCGGGTCTACTTTTCATCGATTTGAACCTGTGACGCATCACATGTTTTGAAGTCTATTTTCTAGATGTTTTATTATTTTATACATTTCTAATTAATAATTCAGGTCTAGTTTCATTAGAACTCTACCTTCAGCCAATCCAAGTATCCAAATATTTAGTGGAACAAAAAGTTAGACTCTGTATCAGATGGAATGCAAATCTAAATGTCTAATGGTACATTAGCAATGGATTATAAAACACAAAACATCACTGCTATCAGGTTAATAGAATATTCTAGCGTGTCTCAATCAACTGAATGCCCACTTTTCTTATTCCTCAACTTCACCGCAAGGCAGGTAAGTTTTCTTTCAATGAAATCATAAATTGCTGCATATCTAATTTATATTTGTTAAACAAGATGAACTATTAATTTTAGTTCTTAGACTTAGAGTCCCTACAGTGTGGAAACAGGCCATTTGACCCACCAACTCCACACCGACTCTCACAGTATCCCACGCAGACCCATCCCCCTATAATCCACCTAATCTACACATCCCTGAACACTACGGGCAGTTTAGCATGGCCAATCCACCTAGCCTGCACATCTTTGGACTGTGGGAGGAAACTGGAGCACACGGAAGAAACCCACGCAGACACGGGGAGAATGTGCAAACTCCACACAGACAGCCCGAGAGTGGAATTGAATCCAGGCCCCTGGTGCTGTGAGGCAGCAGTGCTAACCACTGAGCCACCGTGCCGCCCGACTAGACTAGAATCCTATTAGAGTTTGCAACATTTTGAATTCAATGTGTAGTACACGTTGCCTTTTAGATTAGGATACCACGTAAATCACACAGTTATTGAATTTAAAAGAACTGGAGGTTTTAAATTTATGTAAAGTAAATTCCATACCTGACTATGTTCCAGAAAAGCAAATAGCCATTGAAGTTTCATCATTAATGATTGTGAATCATTCTCCTTCAGTAGCATTACAGCATGCCTGAAGCTAGAAAAGGGGAGCAAAAACTTGGTTTAAAGGTTAACAAGAGCATGCTGATGGCGCAAGACGTTTGTGATTATGCCAGGTCAGCACAGTTCCTAAATTGTCATAACAGCGAATCCATATTTTTCAGAAAATTAAAATAGAAATTCGAATTTAAAAATAGACTTAAAATGGACTGAAAATAGAGTTTCAGAACCAAGTAAAATGAAATAACATTTCTGAAATTCAAAAGATTACTCATTAGTTTGCATCGGCTGGCCTAGGTTATTTTCCAGTATTTGCTTCTTTGGTGTTTTCTCGGTGCCTTTAGTTGCTAAATCATCTCTGTGGCACCAATCATGGTACTTTTTTAAAAAATGGATTTGATTTTGTTTATGGAAAATAAAACAACATATTTTGAATAATTGAAGAAAACTGGTGTGTGGGTTAAACTGTGATCAAGAAGGAAACATCACAAAGTTGCGAGATGCAGCTGTGTTGTCAAGAAAAGTAAATAAAGAATAAATCCCAATATTGCTCTAACATGTTCCTATGCTCAAGTGGGCTGCCTGGGCAAGGTACTTTAAGGACTGAAATTGTATTTTCAGATGCAGAATGTTGTTATCTGGCATGCTAGAGCATAAATCAAGCAGAAAAATCTCACAAAGATTCATCTGCACAACAGAGATTTGTTAATGTGAAAATGTTAGTGTCACACAGCTGATTCTTCTGATTTCTCATTTAGGTTGAGGAAACAGTCAACTAAATGTTCCCTTTCAGAGTGGTACAATTTAAGTGACGCTGCTTGTAAGTCTTCTGGAACTGTAAGGTCTTGAATTTACATGGGACCACAATCATATCTTTTAACCAATGATTATTTTTCAGAAGGACAGAATGCTACCACTCATTTTCAATTTAAACATTTCTACTGGGCTCATGGAGGTCTTGTGGTGCAGTGGGTAGCATCTTTGCTCTGAATCAAAAGCTCTGGGTTTGAGACCTACCCTAGGACTTGAAGGCCAAGGAAGGTACATTCAAATTGTGGTTGTTGAGATTACCACCTTCAAATTCTTCCTGAAAATGTCAATGTCAAGTAGTAAAAGTGTCAGGGAAAAGAGGGTGGATCAGTACAATCATTACCCATACCTCCAGATTACAACATCCGTGTAAGATTACTACAGCAACACAGACTCCGGAGTTAAAATTGAATCAGAGATAGTAGGAACTGCAGATGCTGGAGAATCCGAGACAACAAGGTGCAGGGCTGGATGAACACAGCAGGCCAAGCAGCATCATAGGAGCAGAGAGGCTGACGTTTCGGGCCT